TGTGGGATAGTTGCGGGTGGAGACATGGCGCGGAATCCTATCGGGTCCGTTAGATTAGCTGGGCATAGTACGCGTACGCAAATAGAATCAATGTGTGTAAATGTAATAAGGGACAAAGATTTATGTGGCTCGAAGCCGCTCTGGTCATTTACGAGTGAGAGTCGTCGAGTATCGTACATATAACTCGATAGTGGCGTCCTGGGGTAGACCTTGGCATTTAGCCGCTAGGAAGCTACAAAGCGTCAACTGCAGTAAAAATGAAAACAGATTAATGTGGAATTGTATTTTTAAAAAGCCCACAGAAATTAAACATTCTAACTAAAAATAAGCTTTCCAAAAAATGCACCATTAGTGGGTGGACGCTACGCGGGTACGCAGTAAATTATCATAGGAGCCATCTTTTAATCTTTGAATACTCAAAGGAAGTTATTGTTCGCATTGTCAATTATGCTGCGCGCACGCAGCACAGCATCGAACTGTTTTTCAAAGTACCTGACTGCTTCCATCCCATGTTTTACTGAAGAGACACCATTATTTCGTAAAAAAAAAAACTAAACCAACTTTTCTCGGCACAATTATTTCCATGTTAAAATACAACTCCTCTCACTGCCCAAATAAAACATCTGGTCAGAGTAGACTGCATTTAAACATTTATTTGCCAAATGACACATTTAGCATATCAAGGTAAGGTTGTCTGCGCAACATGCGGAAAACCTAGACAGTAATGGTGATAGTTGGCGACTTTGCTTCTAGCTGTTTTTAAGAGGGAAGGAGTAGGCTGTCACGCCGTTTGGATACACCAAATGCTACCGTATCCTCGTGGGCTATTTGCATAGTGTGTCTGTCTGTAAACACCTTGCGATGTAGGAAACCTGCAGTTTGACACTATTGTAGCATAAAAAGCATTCGCGTGTGGCCTCCAGGCAGCATAGTATTAATAGGCAAGTTCGGGCCGAAAGTGCATTATACGACATGCGTGAAGAACTATTACACGCCTATACCGTTCCATTCTAATTGACTTTTAAAAATAGGAAATTCGGGGTTCGCTGGGTCTCCTCCCGAGAAGTACACGATGTGCTTTCTAACCAGTCGTTAACTAATACAGATAGAATCTCTGATAACAAGATATTTGTTCGGAGCTATTCCCCGCGGTAAGTCTACATTCAGTTTTGAGATTGACTGCCCCTCGTCACTAGGGCGTAACGCAACAAAAATGCGACAGAGTTGTTTGATTTGGTTGAGATTGCTTTGGCGTGGATAACGAATGGGGGTGGTGCGATTTTGTCAGCCAAGGTGACCTCTGTTCCCTTCTTACCGCTGACATCTTTCCCCAACCGCACTCTCCGTTCGTCAATCATGTCCTCCATTGCCAAAATACTCCACAACTATTACCCGCAGTTGCCAACAGCGCCGCAATCAACACTGGTGTCTAAATGATATGACGTGACCACTGCGCACTCCAAATGGATCGTTTGGACGGTACCTGTTTACTTCATTGCCTCGGCACATTTCACTTTTGTTATTCTAGTAATGTATATGCCTTAATATAGACTCCCGGCATTACAAACCCATTTTCTTACTATGTCCGCAAACTCGTGCTTGATGTGGTTTTTAACAATTCTGTCCAGTGTTACACCAAGGCCTCAATGTGGGGCACATCAGTCCAGCAGTCATTTGCGCAAGCTGTATTCAGTCATTCAATCAATACCCGCGCACAAGTCTGAACTGCCAGTGCACGGTTTATTAAAGGGTATAACGATACTAGCAGGCTATCCCTAATAGCACAGTCACGACCATTTTGTCAATGCACAGACATCAAGGGCTGACGCTCTCAGATTGGATGCGACGGTCGTAAACCGTGTGATGATATCAATGGCGCACCTCACATAGTTCTTTGATAGAACTGACTTTAACACAAATGTCGCACACAACTCGTCAACAAAACGTTGCAGCTATTACAACTCAGTTCAGGCTACAGCCTGCGGTTGTACAATTGGAACCGGGGCGAGGCAAAGAAAATAATCAGGGCGGAAGAGTGTCATAGACCGTTATGCGGTTATTTATATAGCTACAGAGACGCCGGTACAGAAACATCTCTGCAAATTAATTAACTATTGTAAATTAATTCCAAGGTGTAATCCACCGCGAACTAAAATGACAGTTATGGATGGCAGCCGGAAGTTTTTGCTCTAATATACTTCTTCGAAG